ACATAGACTGATGAACAAGAACAGACCCAGAGATAAGGAGCTGTGGGTTAGACTGTTGGACCTCAAAGGGAGGGAGGAGATAAATGGAGAGATCAACCAAAGACTTATGTGCATACATATGAGCCTAACCAGTGGTCAAGGACAATAAGGGGGTGGAGCATGAGTGGGGAGGGTTGGGAGGAGTATTGGAATGGGGGGTTGAGGACAAATATGTGATACCTTAATCAATAATTTTTTAAAAAAGCTAACTAAATAAATAATAAAATAAAGTTTAAAAAATAAATAAAAATTGATTTCAGAGAGAAAGGGAGAGGGAGAGAGAGAGAGAGAAATCACTGATTGGCTGCCTCCTGCATGCCCCAAACCCAAGCATGTTCCCTTGGCTAGAATTGAACCCAGGACACTTCAGTCCATAGGCTGACGCTCTATCCACTGAGCCAAACCTGCTAGGGCAAGGTTATTCCTTAATCATTTAACTAGTTGAAGCTTTTAAAACTATGGCATATTTTTGTTTTGTCTTTTGTTGTTTGTTTGTTTTAGTATAAAAAAGTGAGCCATGAAGGCAAGGGAGGGAAGAGATCAACTGATTAATTCTTATGCATATACTAGAGGCCCAGTGCACAAAATTTGTGCATGGGGGCAAGGGGTGTTGTCCCTCAGCCCAGCCTGCACCCTCTCCAATCTGGGACCCCTGAAGGGATGTCTGACTGCCCGTTTAGGCCTGATCATACCGTGATCGAGCCTAAACGGACAGTCAGACATCACTCTCACAATCCAGGACTGCTGGCTCCCAGCTGCTCACCTGCCTGCTTTCCTGATTGTCCCTAACTGCTTCTGCCTGCCAGCCTGATCACCCCCTAACCACTCCCATGCTAGCCTGATTGATGTCTAACTGCTCCCCTGCCAGCCTGTTTGCCCCCAACTTCCCTCCTCTGCTGGCCTGGTTGCCCTTAACTGCCCTCCCTTGCAGGGTTGATCACCTTCAACTGCCCTCCTTTGCAGGCCTGGTCCCTCCCAACTGCCCTTCCCTGCTGGCCATCTTGTGTCCACATAGGGGCAGGATCTTTAACCACATGGGGGCAGCCATATTGTGTGTTGGAGTGATAGTCAATCTGCATATTACTCTTTTATTAGATTATTAAATAGGATAGAGGCCTGGTGCATGCTTGGGGGCCAGCTAGTTTGCCCTGAGGGGTGTCCCAGATCAGGGTGGGGGTTCCCTTGGGGCATGGGGCAGCCTGAGTGAGGGGCCTGTGGTGGTTTTCAGGCCTGCCATGCCCCCCAGCAACCCAAGTGGAGGCCCTGGTATCTGAGATATATTTATTGTACTTTCTACAGTTGAAACTTTGTAGCCTAGAGCAGAGCCAAGCCTCCTGTTTGCTAAGTGGCAGCAGCCGTTTCTGTTTGGATTTGTTTACCTTCTATAATTGAAACTTTGTAGCTTTGAGTGGAAGCTTAGGCCAGCAAGGACAGGTGGAAAGCTTGGCTTCCTCCGTTGCCAGGAAATGCCTCCCTCCTGCTCTCTGTGGCTGTAGCCATCTTGGTTGGGTTTATTTGCATACTCACTCTGATTGGCTGGTGGGCGTGATTTGTGGAGCAGAGTGGTTAATTTGCATATTGCTCTTTTATTATGTAGGATGCATAACCTGGGACAAGGCCAATGGGGTGGTGAAGGCCTGGGAAGGGGAAGAGGATGAGGAGGTAGCTGGAAGAATTTAATGGGGGTGGGGGAAGAAGACCTGATAATTTCAACAATAAAAAAATTTTGAAGTGAGCCCTTTGCAGATAAACTGGGATTAAAGCTAAAATCACCAGTATTTAATATTTAATTTACCAGGTACACATCTCATACTAAGTATCATGGAGGATAAAAAGAACTTGCAGCCGAGACCGGTTTGGCTCAGTGGTAGAGTGTCGGACTGCGGACTGAAAGGTCCCAGGTTCGATTCCGGTCAGGGGCATGTACATTGGTTGCGGGCACATCCCGGGTGGGGGGTGTGCAAGAGGCAGCTGGTCAATGTATCTCTCTCATCGACGTTTCTAGCTCTCTCTCTCCCTTCCTCCTCTCTGTAAAATATCAATAAAATATATTTAAAAAAAAAGAACTTGCAAATCATTCAGCAACATTTATTTAGCACTGATTACACTCTAAGGATACCTAGTGGCAAAGTAATATTGCTTGACTCAATCTTTCAGTAAATCATTGAAATGGTATCTGGAGGAAAACAATGTATCAAGGGAAAAGTTATACTAAAGAGAAAATTTAATTTGATTTAATGATAATCCAAAGAAAGAAAGAAGTAAAGGGAAAAATCTAGACCATGTACAGTATTAGGAGGAGGAATGGGATTCAGAGATTTGTATTGGGCAGTGTGAGATCTGCTTATTGCACTGCAGGTTGGCCAGTCTCTCACTCAGCAAGCCCACATGTCTTCTCTCTTGGATTACATCACCTATACCTTGCTTCCTGACCCTCCTTCCCCTAATACAGTCTCCATACTACAGCCACCATGATCTCTTTAAGATGAAATCTGATTAACTTGCACAGCACAATTAAAATACAGAAAAGTTCTATCATCTCTAAACATTCCCTTGTGCTGCCCTTTAGGAATAAAACCATCTCCCCTATACTCTAGCAATCACTATCTGTTAGATTATTTGACTTTGGATGGTACACACACCATGCAATATGCCAATCATGTTTCATAGAAATATATAATTGAAACCTATATACTTATTAACCAATTTCACCCCAATACACTTAATTTTCAAAAAATTAATAATAAAAAAGTCTCCCTTCCCCATTGCCTTCTGATCCAGTCAGGAGGTCCTCTGCCTCCCTCTCCAGCTTCTTTGTCCTGTGGGTCCCCATTCTGTGATACAGCCATAATGATCCTCTCCTACAATTCCCTCAATTAGCTATCCCCCCTTTCCCTCCCTCTCCTGATCCTTGGAAGTGCTGCCCCACAATATACAACACTCTCCTCCTTCTGGCACATTCCTGGACATTAACTGCAAAGACAAGACTGATCTAATCCACAGAGGTACACATTTCCTTCCTCAGACCTAGGGGAACAGGGACATCTGTTGGCCCTGTTCTGCCCTAGACCAGTGGAGGCCTGGCTTAGAGTTTAGGGAAGGTCCTGTGGTTATTCAGTCCTGGATCTGAGACAGGAAGTGCCAGTGGCCCTCGGGGCAGGACTTCCCTTGATTCTATCTGGAGGTGCAGATTCTACTGGCTGAACCTGGCACGTAAGTAGTTTTTGCCAACCTGGCCAATTTCCAACTATTGCCAGAGCCAAATCTTTATGGTTGTGAGTACACACACATACAAGAGTTTATTCTTGCCTATCCCAGATGTGTATTTCATATTATGTGATCTTGGGACTTCTCAATTTTTTTGAGATTTATTTTTGTTGTATTGTTTTATTTTTAATAATTATTTATTGTTGAAAGTATTATATATGTCTCCCTTCTTCCCATTGAACCCCCTACCCTGCCCCAGGCTCTTCCCGCCCCATTGTCTGTGTCTGAGGGCCATGTATATATGCATACAACTTCCTTGGTTGATTACCCCCCACCCCCACTTCCGCCTTCCCAGAGATTTCGCACTCTATTCCATGCTCTTGAGACTTCTTTTTGCATTGTGTTCTCTTTTTGGTGGCCTCATTCATTGAGATGGGTTTTATTAGCATTTCTAAAATAACAATTTAGTCCTGATCTCTGAGTATCAGATTTCCCAGTCTCTCTCCCTTGCAACAAGTTTGGTAAATGGCCATCACCTGCTAATGGCTTCCTTTTCCCTCAATTCCACCCCGTCCTTTCCCTTCTGTTTCATTAGCAAATCCTGTCCATACCACCTGCCAGGTACACCTAACGATTGTTTCCTCCCCATATCCACTGCTACAACCCTAATTTGAGACACTGTTTTCTTTCCTGATCTGTTTGCACTATCCCATTGGTGTCCCCGCTTCCACACTTAAGCCCCGCAATCTTTTAGTACTCTTTTCTTTTCCAGAAAAGCTCTTCCCCCAGCTTTCCCTTGGCTGGTTTCTTTCCCCCCCTTCATATCTGATCTCCAAAGTCACGTCTTTAGACAGACCTTTCCTGATGTCTAGAACAAATTTAGTCTCCCAAATATTGTCCATCAGCGCACCTAGTTTACTTTAGCCCTGGCAAGAATCACAAGATGCAATTAATTGCTTTAATTGTTGTTGTTTTAACTTTTAAAAAGATTAGAAAATTTTTAATTTTTGTAATCCCTTCCGATGGCAGACAAAATACACACTGCCCAGTTAAATTTGAAGTTCAGATAAACAATAAATGCGTGTTTGTTTGTTTTTTGTATATGATACTTACTTAAACTGAAAATAAAATATCTGAACTTCAAACTTAACTGGGAGTCCTGTATTTTTCTTCGAAAACCAGGCAGCCTTACCCATGGAGGTGCCCTGCGATTGTCTCACTTGTTCTGGGTTGTATTATAGCCACGCAGAGCCTACCACTTAGGTGATCAGTTTATCTGCTGCCTTTTTGTATGCCCCCCTACCCCTATATTTATCAGAATTTTATCCATACACTAAAAATCCTGGTTAAATACATTTTGGGGAAAAATATCTTATCATCTATACTTCTTTGTTTTCCATGTCTGCAAAATTGTCGTAGAAGTATCTACCCTCATCCCGCTACTTTTGAGAATTAAACCAGTTGATGTTAAAGTTTAGCAACGCTCCCGGGTCACTAGAACACGCAATTAACTTCAGTTCTTTAGTAAAGGCAGCCAGTAAACCATTTCAGCGGCAAGCAAAAACGCGGGTTTAGGGCGCAAGGGTGGGGGCTGGGAAAACGGTTTAGAAACCACCCCTGGCCCAGAGCTGTGGGCCCGGAAATGGGGCGGGGCTACGAATGAACGGCAGAAAACCCAGCCAATGGGGAGACTGGGAACTGCTTACACCTCTCCCTGGCGTTTCAAATTCTAAGCTCCGTTTTCATCCGGGTCCTTCAGCCTCGTTCCCGGGCAGTATAAAGTTTGCTGTCTCCTTTGTTCGCCCTCGTTGCGCAGTAGTTCCTGCGGGTTCTCCCTTCCGTCTTCGGAGCCGGCGGCCCGTCCCTCACGTTGAGCGGCTAGGAAGCCTCTGCCAGCGAGCTCGCAGGAGCTTGAAACCGTCGTCACCCCTCCGGTAAGCGTGTCCTTCTCTTCGGTCCCTTTCTTGGCACTTAGTTGTCACGTTCGAATCAGAGATGATCTCCCGGGAGATGGGGCTGGCGGGCGCCATTTTAAGAACGCAAAGGTGCCGACCTACTTTAGATAACAGTGGCGTGTCGCATGGAAACAAATGTAGCGGGTCCGTGGAGTTGCATGCTTGGAGAAAGTTTGACTGTCGCTGCCGGGGTGGCGGCGAAGGTCGGGGTTTGAGCTGGACCGGGAGACCACGCCGCCGCGGTGCCCTCATTGGGATGGCGCCGGCGCTACCGATAGGCACGTGCAGGTTTTCGCGGGGTCCCTGTTCATTGGTGGGGCCACGGAGAGGAAGCCCTTTGAATTTTCCCAGCCATTGCTGATACCAAAAGTTACTCCTCTCACCGGTGCCGGTAGTTCTGGGTTGATTCCAAGTGTCGCCATTTTGTGTGTTCCACGCGGTTTTTTAGTGACGGTTTTAATTGGGTTCTGCTGCAGCCAGGGGATGTTATAAGTTCCGGAGCGCGATTTCACGAATCGTTATTTAATAGGAAACTATGTTAACACTTTTTAAGGTTCTTGACCTTTTTGGCGGGCCACGGAGTGGTGAAGACCAGGGGGCGTAACTTGGCTCAAACTTTAAATTTCTAAATAAGTTTAGCAGGGAATCCTAATAAGGAAACAGAGTCCCCCCTAAGAGAGCTTGACGTTAAGGACTTGTGTCTGGCCTGTGTGTGACCTTGAATGAGTCGATAGTCTTCAGGGTAATTAGGATGTAATTGTTTAAAAGGCTACAATTTTGAGGTTAAAACAAAGTTGTAAATGTCGAGTAGCCGTTACTAGATTAAAACTGCCAGGGTGGGTTAAGGGTAAACGCCTAAACTTACTTGATCCTTTTAATCAGTTTAATGGAAACTGCGCTATGGCTTAAGTACTTAATTTGGGTTTCCTGCTTAGAAGAGATCGCTTTTGGTGTCTAGTTATTAAGGATTAATGGTTTTAGAAAAATAAAGAAATTCACTCCGATAAATTCACGTGTCCGATAAACTTGGAACTTTTCCCAGTGACACACTATATTTTTCTCTAGACTCTTAACCAGGGGGAAAACATGGTTGAAGCTGATCGCCCAGGAAAGCTCTTTATTGGTGGCCTCAATACAGAAACAAATGAGAAAGCCCTTGAAGCTGTATTTGGCAAATATGGACGGATAGTGGAAGGTGAGTTTCTCTGAAAGTATATGCAGGGTTATTTTGTAATTACAAAGGGAAGCTATGATGAATTTAATTGCAATGATCGTCGGAAATGATAATGTATTTTGTCCTCTAAGAAGTTCTGAGCTTTCTTTTCTAAAGATTCACTTTTGTTAATTTATTTGAACCAGAATAACATTTATAACATTTTCCTCCTCTTCCCCCCTCCCGAAAATGACTTTTTAGTACTCTTGATGAAAGATCGTGAAACCAACAAATCGAGAGGATTTGCTTTTGTCACCTTTGAAAGCCCAGCAGATGCTAAGGATGCAGCCAGGGATATGAATGGAAAGGTGAGATTGTCTGCATACTAATACAGTGTTCCCAGGTGCATAAAATAGCCAACCAGGCCTTAGGGCATGGCATCTCTTGAATTTTGTTTTTGGTGTATAACTTTCCCGGCCCCTCTGATCATGGCCCTTTGTAATTTTATAGCCAAAGTTATAGGTAATACTTTAGCAAGTCTTTCAGTTCAGAGTAGTGTGTGCTGCTTATTTTATCTGGGATTTATAAACTGCTTTAATAACGGCTTTTCCATTTGGTTATTAGTTTTGATAAGTTGATAGCCGGCCGAGCTTTAAAATTTTATCCACCAGTTAATTGGGTCCGCCTTGTTTGCCTCATCATCAGTAACAATCTTAAAGATGAGTAAGCACTTTTAAGTAAACAGAAAAGTAACACCACGACTGTATTATTTTTCTTAGATTAATTAGCAAAGTTTACCGGTAATTACATTTTCAAGGCCATTGTTGTCAGTGTGTGGTGCATGTGCAAGTTCTTTTTAAATGATGATGTAACTAACCACTTAATTATTTAGTCCTTAGATGGAAAAGCCATCAAGGTAGAACAAGCCACTAAGCCATCATTTGAAACTGGTAGACGTGGACCACCTCCACCTCCAAGAAGCAGAGGCCCTCCAAGAGGTCTTCGAGGGGGAAGAGGAGGAAGTGGAGGGACCAGGGGACCTCCCCCACGTGGAGGGCACATGGGTAATTTGGATCTACCTCATGCTTGGTGTTTCAGTTAGGAACTGCAAATCTATAACACGTGTGCTTTGTATAAGTCTTTAAGGCAGTGTTTCCCAACCTTCTCTCATGATGAGAATCACCTGGTGGAGTTGTTAAAACACAGATTCCTGAATCCCAACTAAGAAGTGCTAAACTAGAATTTTTGGGAGCATATAGGTAAAATTGTGTACTTAACTAGTGCTCTAAGACAGATTTTATATACAGAGCACTAAGTTAGGTATGCAATTTTACCTATATGTTCTCAAAAATTCTACTTTAGCACTTCATAGTTGGGATTCAGGAATCTGTGTTTTAACAACTCCACCAGGTGATTCTCATCATGAGAGAAGGTTGGGAAACACTGCTTTAAGGGCTCCAGCTTTTGAAATTGAGACCACATGTTTATCTACCAAAGTGATAATGACTTAAAAATGGGGTATCAAATCCTAAATTACACACAGCATTTTTAAATGATGGGAAATACCCTATTTATCCAAGTAGTTCACTCTAGGAAAAATCACTTGCAAACAGAATTTTTTTAAAAATATATTTTATTGATTTTTTTACAGAGAGGAAGGGAGAGATATAGAGAGCTAGAAACGTCGATGAGAGAGAAACATCGACCAGCTGCCTCTTGCACACTCACTACTGGGGATGTGCCCACAACTCAGGTACATGTCTTTGACCAGAATCGAACCCGGGGCCTTTCAGTCCACAGACTGATGCTCTACCACTGAGCCAAACCGGTTTTGGCTGCAAAAAGAATTTTTGATAGGCCTACCTGAATTGGCATCTGAAAATTAACTTATCAGGGAGCTTTTTGAAGATTATCCTTTTTTATTTCACTAAGCCTATATAGATTTCATGCTCAGTATTTTTGTTGTTAATCCTCATTTTAAAAAAATTATTGATTTTTTTTTTTTTTTTTTTTTTTTACAAAATAGAAGGGAGAGTTAGGAAACATTGGTGAAGAGAGAAACATCAATCAGCTGCCACCTGCACACCCCCTACTGGGGATGTGCCTGAAACCAAAGTACATGCCCTTGATAGGAATTGAACCTGGGACCCTTGAGTCTGCAGGCTGACTGCTATATCCACTGAGCCAAACCTGTTAGGGCCTCAGTATTTTCTTAAAAATATATTTTTATTTCAGACAGGATGGAGAGAGAGATAGCTGCCTCCTTGCACGTCCCCCACTGAGTCACATAGGCTGGGCACATGGTCAAGTCTTGTATGTGTGAAAACTAAAGCAAGATGCCCCAACTAAAATATTCTCCACGAAGCAAAGAACTTGTTTAGCCTTTTCTGGATTCTTGTGAATATTAACATTTTTCTTTTCTATTCTAATGTAGATGATGGAGGCTATTCCATGAATTTTAACATGAGTTCTTCCAGGGGACCACTTCCAGTAAAAAGAGGACCACCCCCGAGAAGTGGGGGTCCTCCTCCTAAAAGATCTGCTCCTTCAGGACCAGTTCGCAGCAGCAGTGGAATGGGAGGAAGAGGTAAGTTTCCATTTATGACCACCTATCCCACCGAAAAAATTATAAAAAATTATATTTAAAACTGACTTATGGACCCCAGATGATCCAGGTACATGCAGTAAATATGCATTAAAAAGAATTTAGGTGTGAATAGAAAATTTTTGGAGAACGAAATATATAGTTCTAGGTCATATGTCATTGAAGCACAATTTTTCATTGCTTGACTATAAATTCACATTTCATTTTCTATCTTTGAGTATATTTTAATAATATTTTTTCTTTAAGCTCCTGTATCACGTGGAAGAGATAGTTATGGAGGCCCACCTCGAAGGGAACCTTTGCCTTCCCGTAGAGATGTTTATTTGTCCCCAAGAGATGATGGATATTCGACAAAGGACAGGTAACCGGAAAATGTAACGGTCCCCTCTTACAAATGTTTCGTTTTGAAGGGAAAGCTTATCCAAAGCATCAAACAAGTTATTTTTGTTTTGGTAGCTACTCGAGTAGAGACTACCCCAGCTCTCGTGATACAAGAGACTATGCTCCACCACCAAGAGATTATACTTATCGTGATTATGGTCATTCCAGTTCACGTGATGACTATCCATCAAGAGACTATAGGTAAGTGATTCTGCTTCCATGAATTTTGATGTAAAATGTAAAGGTTTATGCTTTGTGGCTTACAAGTTTTTCTCTTTAGTGATAGAGATGGCTATGGTCGTGATCGTGACTATTCAGATCATCCAAGTGGTTCCTACAGGGATTCATATGACAGTTATGGTAAGATACTGGTTTAGTGTCTTTGTATATCACCAGCTTGAGTTTTTAGGTTCATGAGCCAATTTACTAGGCTGTGTGGTGCTTGCTTTTAAAGGGATGTTGCTTGCTTTTAAGGGAATAACTATCAGCTGGGCTTTTCCTAGTTTTGTGAGGGGCTTTTGTTGTTGTTGTTGTTGTTTTTTTCTATAAGTTTTTTTTCTTTGAGGCTGTTTGCTTGCTTTGGAGGGGGATTTTGCTTGCTTAAATTGGCAGCCTTATGTGTTTTCCCCCAACAGTGCAAATACAATTTAAAAATTTTATTAACAACAACAAATGTTTACCATTCCAATATGAAGGAAAGTCTACAGTTCAAAATTGCAACTTATCACTGGAAAGTGGCTGAGTGTCTACTATAAAATAACAAGCTGTCTGGAATATCCTCTTGAAATACACACCGTCTTCAATCTTTTCAAACAAACATTAAAACCCATCCATTTCCATATCTCAGCAAATGAGCAAATCCCTGTTAATGGCCAGCAATGGCAGAGTTTAAAACCTCCCAGTTGAGAAAGTAAAAGTTTAATACAGGAATTTTGTAAATTCAGATTTAAATGTTGTATATATACAATTTATAGTGTTGCCATATTACCTGACCATTGACCCTGCAGGTAACTCACGTAGTGCTCCACCTACACGAGGGCCCCCGCCATCTTATGGTGGAAGCAGTCGCTATGATGATTACAGCAGCTCACGTGACGGATATGGTGGAAGTCGAGACAGTTACTCAAGCAGCCGAAGTGATCTCTACTCAAGTGGTCGTGATCGGGTTGGCAGACAAGAAAGAGGGCTTCCCCCTTCTATGGAAAGGGGGTACCCTCCTCCACGTGATTCCTACAGCAGTTCAAGCCGCGGAGCACCCAGGGGTGGTGGCCGTGGAGGAAGCCGATCTGATAGAGGGGGAGGCAGAAGCAGATATTAAAAACAAAACTTTGGACCAAAATCCCTGTTCAAAGAAACAAACAGAAAGTGGAACCTATTCTGTCATAACTACCCAAGAACTACTAAAAGGAAAAATTATGTTACATTTTTCAAATTTCCTGTTAAGTTCCCCTTTCATAATTTTTATGTTCTTGTGAGGAGAAAAGTAAAACATGTTTGATCTTAGGACATTGCTTTCAACAAGCAAATGTTAAATGTGTTAAGGCTTGACTTGTGTATAGTGGTGTCATTTTCCAAGTAAAAGTGTCCCAAAGGCCACTTTCTAATTTTTCCCCCAGTTAATGAGAAGCAATTCTAAGATCTACAAACATTTAGCCATCTATTGTAAAATGGACAGATGAATCCCTCTGCCTATACAAATAAGCTAGCTATTAGAGGGTGGTTGGGGTATGCTACTCTTAGGATATCATTACAGTCTTCAAACTGAAATCTCAAATGTTACCAATATGAAAAACTTGAGATCAGATGCTTATGTAAAAGAAAGTGCTATTCACCCAGTAAACCCAAAACAGTTCTGGCCATATTTTGTCTTTCTGACATTTCCTTGGGAATCTACAAGAACCTCCCCCTCTCCCCTCCCCCAATAAGATCATTTTAAGTGTGTGTTAAGCAACTACAGAATACTAAATAAAAAGTTTGGCCAAAACCAACCATGAAGCTGCAAACGGTGCTTGCTCTTACTGTTTCAAATTTTTGCAACTCTGTAGTGTCTCACTTTTAAGGAACAGCTTGATTGCAAAGGAGAAAATAGATAAGCAATGAAGTTATCTCCAACTTCTCAAAGGCTTATGACTTCTAAAAAGTGAATCTATCAGCATTCCACATCAGATTTAAAGCATCAAATGCCTGTGAAACAGCAAAGATGGTAAGCAAAGCAAACTAGTTTTTCCGTCTAAGTCGAAATTGAACACTTCCTCATAGTACAGTGAAACATACTGTACCTCATGGCAGTGGAAATGCTTTCTAGATTAAAAAAAAACTTTTGGAAAAGCAAAGTGTTCTATAGCATTAGAAGTTCTCCAAATTCAACTTCTTGGATTTTTTTTTAAAGCATGTATGACACTTAAAGGCCTTTAGTACAGCTGTTTACCAATAGCCACCTGGGGCTTGGGAGGGGGTAACTTTTTAAGTTTTTGATGAAGACCTTTAAACATGCTTCACATATTTTGACTTTTTTTAAAATTAGATTTTTAGTCAATATAGGAAATGGCTTAAGTTTGGGGTGCCCCTCTCCCTACCCCTGTAAGCCATTGCAAACTTGACATTTAGTTGGATGCCTGACTTGTTTTTCTGTGAAACTACACTGTATGGAGAAAATCTATTTGGAAGTGGTCTTTAAAAAGCAAAACCTGAGGCAGCATGACCCAGGTCCAGCCACGAAGTTGAAAAAGATGCTCTTGAATATAGTAAACTTGAAGACCTCCAACTAAAAATCCTTGTACTGCACATATTCCTTCAAATAAGTTTTGTCCGTTCAACTTATGGATTTAACATGGCAGTGCACCATTGGAACAGGATGAGAATCCATAAGCCATGCAACTTAACCATTTAAGCCATTCCAGTCCATCCCAAGCCAGTGAATCTTCCACCACTTGAGAGAAATAGTAGACCATGAAATACCTTAAGCTGCAAGTCTGAACTTGCCTTTTCTTTCTGGCAAAGGGGGCAGTAAGTTATAGGCAAGTTTTGAAGCATTTCTGACTAGAGATAACTACCTATTTAATTTTTACAGGTTGAGGATTATGGTCACGGAATGCTGATTTATTCACACTAGGTAAAGCTGACAAGTTGGCAGCAAGAGAAATCAAACGCTGAGGTAAGTTTCAAAAGTATGATAGCTTCTAACAGGTTTCTAGACAAGCTTTGCCACTTTGCATGGTTAGGGTATTGGTACATTGTAAAGGGATCAAGTTAAGTGCTGTAATGTGCAACACCTTACATGTTAACTGCTGATTTGAATGTAGGGTGAAGCTACCGTATTTTAAACACAGGTATAGTTCCATTATGGCTCAGTCATGCAACACCTTGCTGTTTTTCAGTGTATAAAATTTGTTAGTGCTATTTCTGCATAAGCAGTTGACTGGAGATGTATAGCTTTCAGGCGTCTTCAAACTACGGCCCGCGGGCCACATGCGGCCCGCAGAGGAGTCTGATCCGGCCCGCCAGGTTTTTTGGGCAGTGAGCGCAGCCGAGGTGTTACAGTAGGAATTAGTAGTTCATATAGTCCGGCCCTCCAGCTCTCTGAGGGACCGTGATCTGGCCCCCACTTTAAAAAGTTTGAGGACCCCTGGTTTGGCAAATGAGCAAGCTTCCTATAATCAGTACCTGTTTGATTACAACACAGTACAAATTCACTAAAGGAGACTAGATGCAGCTGCTAAGTTCCCAGTTTGAAAAACAATTTTATTGGTTTAATGATAGTTATATAGTCTTGATTACACTAAATTGATGCTTAGAGGAATTGTACTGGGTATTTATGGTTGCTTTTAGAGTTTAGAATTGAAAGCAAATGCATTGTTGCCAGTTAAAGCAACAAAATAGCATGTATTTAAAGAGTAGGTAAGGGAGAGAAATTGACCTGATCACATGTTTTTCGTTTTGCAGAGTTGTTGAAGCAGAAGAATGCAGAATGTGTATAAGGCACAACAGTTGCATAAGCAGTGCTCATCAGAATTGGTTTGGTGCAAGCAATAGATTTTTGCCTTCAAGGGTTCCTGTTGGACAAAAGGCATCAGTGTTGGTTAGCACTCTTTTAACTAGGGAGTGGTAGATACTTAAGTAATAATTGACAGATGGAGAAAGGGGAGCAATTAAGGAAATTGGTAAGTGGAGGTAGTGAGGAGCTCTTTGGTTCTTTATGTAGATTTTATAGCTTTGGCTTTCATTGTTTAGCCAAAGTCATTAGGAACAACTTTAATTAGAACTTCCTAATTATCAATGTCAGAAAGTTAATTAAAAAAAATGAAAGGCATAAGCGGTAGCTCTCTGATTTTCAGCAAGTGTAACACTGCTGTTTATTATCCAGAACTGGGACTAAGTAAAAAAACAACTAAAGGAAAGAGTAATGTCTGGAAACTTGGCTGAAATGATTGAAAGCACATTTAAAAACTGGAAACAAAATTGGGCCACTTGGCTTTTTAAACTATTTTTGTTAGGCTATGTTACCCCCACCTCCTTACCTTGGAAAAAAAAATCCGAATACAGCTTCATTATGTTGGAGATCAGAGTCAATAATATAAAATCTACTGTTCTCAAAGGATACAGAGTTAAGTTGTTGGGTTAGAAAAAACAACTCAAGAATTTGTGCATAGTAAAATGGCAGTACTATCATGATCAACATTTGTGATTGTGGGAAATAATTTTAAAAAAGGTGTAACCCTCATTTGACAGGCTCTTAATCACAGACCATGAGGGTATTGGCCAAATTTTAAATGGCTGTTGCACTTATATAGCTGTCTTCCTCAATCCTGTAATCTTAAATTACTTGAGTTTATGCTTTTGTGTCCTGAGATTTTATTTAGATATCTTGAAGATAGTGTAGAACATTGAGATTAATTATAGTAAATATCAATACTATATTCAAATTAGGAAGTATGCTTAAATGACCAAGATAGCCATTTGGCAAGTAGTTTACTGATGCAGCAGACTTAATTCTGCTCTTGTGGAAAGAATTTGTTTTGATATTTATGACTTTATACTGGCTGCAAACACACACACACACACACACACACACAAAATGAGTGTTTTCCTTGTTTGTTTGAATATAGAACATAGGTATTATAGATCACTTCTCTTTTTGGAATGTTTTGTATTTGAAACTTAATAAAACTTAATATGCATTTTTGTGGTCCTGGGTTTTTATTTGCAATAAGGAATTTAGACTTTTTTCTGAGAGGAAGGGAGCGAGTCCTCAATGATGAGAATCATTGGCTGCCTCCTGCAAACCCCCATCCTCCACTGCAGATCAAGCCTGCAACCCCTGCAAGTTGTTTGACCAGGAATTGAACTGTGACCTTAAATTTTAAATATGACATTAAACCTGGCCCCTTCCCCAAAAAGTTCTCATCCACTATTGGCACTTGAGCAGCTATTAAGGAACATAGTCACTGAGGTGGCCTATTGCTGACACTGGACTTGGTTTCTTTGGGGAGTGAGCTCCGTGTAGGCATCAAGGTAATTTGGATGGTTTCATTTAATCCTTACCCTGAAATGAAATGGGGGGCAGTAACAAATTAGCTAAAATAGCAAAGATACTGTCAATTTTTCTCAACTCTTGGGAAAATTGGTATGGAAACTCAGTAGACAGTGAATCTACTTTAGACTAAAGTCCTTTCAGCATTGCTGTTAAACCAACACAATAGGTTTCTGTATTCACAATTTTCTCTGCCATTTACATACACATCTGACCTCTGATATTAATGCCAAAACAACTTAGTGAATTGGAAGATTGTGATTGGTGTATGTTAAGGTTTCATATAAATATAGGCTGACTTGGTTGTAGATTTGTGACATGGGCCAGGCCACTGGGGCAGCTTCCATTTTGTGGTTCCTAATGTACGAATTTCCCTAGCAACTAAAATAGGGTATTGCCTTTGGGTTATAGCCAGTTGCATGGAACTAACCACATGGAAAAGGAATTCATTTAAGTCCTACATGAATATAGTTTTTGTGTCTATCTGCTTTCAACATGTTTTGTTTTTGAGATTGTTAAAATTGTGGGTAGTACATTTTGTTGTAGAGTAGAATTTCATTGTATACCTTATGTGCATAGTATGTACATTCTATTGATTGTCATCTGGCATATTACCAGTTTTGGGCTATTGACAAATTTATGAAGAGTTCTGGTTGCTTTCCAACACTTATAGATCAATTTCTTTTTAACCATTTTTTCAATTTAGTTGGCATGCAATATTAGTTTTAGGTGTACGAAATAGTGATTCAATATTTATATACCTACAATGTGATCACTACTAAGTCTAGTAACCATCTGTCATTGCATACTTATCACAGGATTTATTATATATATTACCCTTTCACCCTTTTCACCAATTCTATACCTCTAACCATAAGTTTGTGAGGTTTTTATTTTATTTTAATTCTTTATTATTGAATATATGTCTTTTCCCCTCCCCCCCCAATTGACCTCTCCCGTCCCCTGGCCCATAACCTTCACCCTCCCCCCCCACTGTCTTTCTATTGGTTATGCTTCTGCATGCATACAAATCCTTTGGTTGATCTCTTGCCCCCTCCCCCCTGTCCTGCCTTCCCTCTGAGATTTGATGGTCTGGTCTGTCCAATTCTATGCCTCTGTATTTTGTTTCTGTTTTTGTTTTGTTTGTTCTTGGTTTAGTTTTTTACTTTGCACACAAAGTGAAACCCTAAGTTATTTGTCTTTCCATTATGATTTTTAAAAATACATTTTATTGAAGAGACGAAGGGAGAGGGATAGAGTTAAAAACATCAACGAGAGAGAAACTGATCAGCTGCCTCCTGCACATTCTCCTCTGGGTATGTTCCTGCAACCAAGGTATGTGCCCTTGACCAGAATCGAACCTGGGACCCCTGAGTCCTCAGGCCGATGCTCTATCCTTTGAGCCAAACCAGTTAGGGTTCCATTATGATTTGATATCGCATTTCCCTTAATGACTAATGATACTGAGCACTTTAAAAATACTTTTTGGGATTTTAAATTTACAGAAGTTGCAAAGAGCATAGTTTCTATATGTCATTCACCAGTTTGCCCTGATTTTAATCTTATATTATGGTACATTTGTCAAAACTAAGAGATTAATATTGGAATATGACTTAACTAAACTTCAGACTGCAAATTTCACAATTTTCCCACTACTCTCCTTTCCAGGATCCAATCCAGTATGTCACATTGTATTTTATAATGGGGCAGTTCCTCATGTTCTTATAGCCATCTTTCACAAACTGTTTTGTCAGTTTCATCAGTTTCAAAAAACTGGATGGTCTTTTTTAATTTTATTTTAGAATTGGGGGTGGGTGGAGGGGAGAGACAATGATTGTTGTCTCCAGCACACACCACATCCTGGGCATGAGTCCTTACTGGGAATCAAATTAGCAACTTTTTGATGGATAGAACAACACTTAACCAACAGCCATACTGTCCAGGGTTGGATCATCTTTTAAATGTTGCAAATATGTATTCTGGATACAAATAGTCAGATAACATGTGTTGTGAATGTTTTCTAGTCTTTGTCCTGCCTAATTTTTTTGTAATCCTCACCTGAGCATGTCTGTTTTTTTAGAATATTTTCTAGTTTGTCTAACAGGACAAAGGCTAGAAAATATTCACAACCCATGTTATCTGACAACTTGTATCCAGAATACAAGAATGTCTGGTGTGTTCCCCACCCAAAGTTAAGTCTCTGCATCCCCATTTATCCCTTCCCCTTTCCCTCTGGCTATCACCATTCTGTTGTCTGTGTATTAAACTAAACTACAAGGCCATTGTAATCAAAACAGCCTGGTACTGGCATCAGAACAGAGAGCCCAGAAATAAACCCACATCATTATGGTTGATTAATATTTGACAGGGGACAGGAGCAAACAATAGAATAAAGACAGTTTCTTCAATAAGTGATGTTGGCAAAATTGGACAGGTACATGCAAAAGAAAAGACTAGACCACCAACTTACATCATACACAAGAATAAACTCAAAATGAATAAAAGACTTAAAAGTAAGTCACAAAACCATAAAAATCCTAGGAGAAAACGGGCAGTAAAATTTCAGACAACTGTAAAACAGGAAAAAAAAAAAAAATAAATCTGCAGATATACCAAACAAGCTGCACAACAAAAGAAACCAACAAAATGAAAAGGCCAGTCCATTGTATGTAGCCCATTTACCAATGCTATATCTGATAAGTGGTTTTAAAAATACAAAACTTAGACAACACCAAAGCATACAACTCAATTAGAAATCTGGCCAAAGTTCCTGATAAACAGAGGACATTCAGGTGGCCAATAGGTATGAAAAGATGCTCAATGTCATAAATCAGTAAATGCAAACTAAAATCACAATGAGATAACTCATGCCTGTCAAGGATGTCAGGAAAGGGAAACCCTCATGCACTGTTTATGGGAATAAAGACAGGCACAGTCACTGGAAAAGTTTCCTCAAAAAATTCAAAGACTACCCTTTGAACCAGTGATCCGCCTTTTGGGAATACATCTGAAGAAACCCCAGACACTAATTTGAAAAATATGCATCCCCATGTTCATTGCAGCATTATTTACAATAGCCATGATCTGGAAACAACCCAAGTGCCCATCAATAGAGTGGATAAAAAAGCTGTGGTGTATTTACACAATAGAATACTAGTATAAAAAAAAAAATCTTACCTTTGAAACAATATGGATGGATCTGGAAAGTATGCTGAATAAAATAAGCCAGTCAAAGCAAAATATAAATACTATAATATATGATCTCACATATGTAGAATCTAATCAACAAAGTAGAAACAGAACAGACAATTGTCAGGGAGATTTGGGAGGCTGGGGTGAAAAATTAAGAGATTAAGGAAAGTGATGTTTTTACTTATTTGTTAGGTCTATAACTCTTTTTTTTTTTTTTATGATGAAGTAGGATTTGAAACTTGTTTTTAAAAACATGGATATAAGCCCTAGCCGGTTTGACTCAGTAGCTAGTGTCCTGCTTCAGACTAAAGAGACCCGGTTGGATTCCAGTCAAGGGCACATGCCCTGGTTGCAGGCTTGATCCCCAATCTGGAGCATGCAGAAGGCAGCCAATCAATGAATCTCTTTAGGCATAGGAAATGCTTGAGGATGAAATTTAAAAGTCTAACAGACAGCCCTTCATCTGTATTGTGAGGGAGTCCATCCTTCTTGACTGCTAGGTGAAAATGAGAGAGAGAGAGAGTTTCAAAACTCCCCCACTCCAGCGCCGGTCCTGTATCCTCATGCCCCAGGTGGTCCCTGTGCAACCTGTTCCTGTCCAGCACACTAGTCATGCGCTATCATTGATGTTTCTATCTCTCCCTCTCTGAAATAAATAAAAATAAACTTTAAAAAAGACAAACATGAATATCCATTTATTTTAGCATCTTTTATGGAAAATCTCAGTATATTTGTAGGAGCCATAGGTATATTACTGTACTTTTTTCTTTTTTAAAAAAAATATATTTTATTGATTTTTCACAGAGAAGAAGGGAAAGGGATAGAGAGCTAGGATCATCAATGAGAGAGATACATCGACCAGCTGCCTCCTGCATACCCCCCACCGGGGATGTGCCTGCAACCAAGGTACATGCCCTTGATCAGAATCGAATCTGGGACCCTTGAGTGTGCAGACCGACGATCTATCCACTGAGCCAAACCGATTTCAGCACTTTTTCTTATTAGTATGTCTACCTTTATCTTGATTACTGTAGCTTTATAGTAAATCCTGTAAAGAAATTACTTTAAAAAATTGTTTTCTTCAGAGTGTTTTTCCCCCTTAAGTTATGCTGTTTGTTTTTTCTACCTCAAACTCCATCTTCCATGTTAGAGGCTTTCCTAAAATGAATGGAAATTTTGGGTTTCATGCTTATGATTATAAGAGTAGGAGATTAAAATGTTTGTAAGCTCTGAAGGCTTTTTTTCTTTGACCTTAACTGTGGAGGTTGTTTGTTGAAGAACCCCCGATTCCAATGTCTTTAGGTTTTTCCTCTTGGGCTA